GGGATCCCTCTTGTATGTTGTCATGAGCAAACTATGGAGATGGGAGCTAGCTTTCTGTTTTTTCGCTTTGACCAAAGTCCTATACTTTTTCTTTTCCTGATAATAACTGTCTCTGAGATAAGGGTTGTAAGGGAGGGCAATAAATTTCTTTTTTACATCATTTACTCTTCGTTTTTGGACTTTACATTCTCTATCAAACCACTTATTCTTTGGAAAGGTTGTTGCAGTCCTGTTATTACTGGGCTCAGGTACCAGCCCAGCTATCACATTCATTATCCTCTCAGCAGCAACATCTGCTCTGTCAAAAGGCATACTTTCTTTTATTTCACATAAGGCATCCAGGACCTTTCGGTTATGCTGCTTCTGGGTAAAGAGTTGTGTGTTCAGTTTCATGGGCTTCTGAACTCTGATGCACTTCCCTTTGAATGAGCAATGTTGGCCGATACCAGATAATATCTTGAGTGAAAAGGTTATTGGGCAATGATCCGAGTATAAGGTGAGTGGTTGAATAGAGAAACTGGTTATTATATGTTGTATATCAGCTGACACAATCACATAGTCCACGACACTGCAACCATTTGGTGTGTAACATGTGTATTTACCACTGCTGTCACCTTCATGTCTTCCATTTAAGATACGTAGTCTAGAACCAATACATAGGTCTAGGAGGCATCTACCCTGCATATTAACTGTTGTATCTTGTGACACACGTGGATGATCTTCGTCAACACTATAGGTTAGAGGAGAGTATTCAGGCATGTCATTGTCACTCTCAATATAGTCACATATAGTGCCTGTCCTGGCATTTAAATCTCCACACAAAACAATATCACCTTCACATGAGAATTTCAGTATTTCACATTCCAGGGAGCCCCATTCAGATGCTCTGTTGCAGGTGATAGTTGAACCTTGTGGTGGCATATAACAAAAACAGATAAATATCTTCTTTGGTGCTTCGTTCTGTTCACATACTAATTTAACCCATAATCTATCTTCCATGTCTGCGTTCTCTAATATCTGGACATTTTCCCAAATTCTATTGTGTACAAAAAGGAGGAGTCCACCAGACCCTCTTCTGGCCTGTGGGTGAATGTATGTTCGTGGTTTGTTGATAACGTGGTAATTTGCTGCATTAAATTGAGTATCTTCTGATGATTTCAGCCATGTTTCAGTAATGCATATAAAATCAAATTCTGATTGCATGTAATCAGAATATTTTTCCGCTGTAAGACCTTGTATATTTTGATAGAAAAATCGAATCGCTGAGTTTCCTGTGCAATTTGGTTGTAGCCTACCCTGGCTTCTGTCCTAGTCTTGGTGGGAGGTTTCACCAGTTCCAGGGGAGAGACCAGGGCTAAATAATTCACATTCTGCAGCTACTTTGTGAGGTTTTCCATTGACAATGAGCTCACCATCCGAAAATCTAATAAAGGCCTTCTTCCCCTCACTTCTGGCTTTTTTCATTTCACTGACCAGAATCCTTCTTCTCTCTCTCTCCTCTTTTGAGAGATCATCTGCAAGGAATATTCCAGAGCCACTAAGTAGCTTTCCTTTCTTCATAAGGATCAACTTTTCCTCAAAATTTCTCATTTGCACCAGGATTAACCTTTTTTGACCAACTTTGAATTTACCAAGCCTCACTGCATTTACTGGGGACAGGTCAACGCTCAAATTGTCTTTGAAAACCTGCAACACTGCGTTGGTTGCAGACACAGAGTCTCTTTCCTCAACATTTCCAAGAAGAACATTGCATTTTCTCTTCTCTCTTTCTTTCTCTCTCTCAATACTTTTGTGCTGCACAGTCAATGATTGAACTTGTGATTGGAGCAGCTGCAATTGCTGCTGTTGCTGTTTGGCATTTGAAGAGATTTGCTCTTGTGCTGGAACAGTATAGCTCAGAGGTGGTGCTTCCTCTGACTCACTGTGCCTCACTGTATTGGGAAGTTTTTCTTCCAATTCAGAAACCCTCCTAGTAAGAGCACCAATTGTGTTTTTTAATAACCGAACCTCTTTTTGCACTTGTTCTTTGAAACTGAAAAGAGCCTGTTCAACAATTCTTTTGACAGTGGCTGCTAATTGTGACTCTAGCTCTTCTGAAATTTTAAGATGTTCAGGAGATTCTCCCCCATTTTCCGACACAATGGGTGATGTTGTCTCATTCAGGTTATCTACTCCTGTGTTATGGTTTGTATCTGACACAACCACCCTTGTATGAAGTGTAGGACTTCCGTCAACACCCCCACCAACAGGTGACACCATGTCTGTGTTTGCACCTTGTGATGCTGTTGAGGGTGGTGGGATATCAGGGTCGATCTGACCCCTTTGAGAACTAGGGTCATAATCTTGCTCATTAAGCCATTTACCAATAGGTTTTCCTTCATACTTGATGTTTTCTCTCCATTTTCTACCATGTAGCCCTGCTAGGCTTTCAAATTCTAATGGGTTTAGCCACCGGCCATTATACTTGATACAATTTGCTATGGTTTTCCCAGACTTTCTACATTTTTGGGGATAAAAATCTGTTTCTTTGCTGCCACATTTAACTCTAATGCACTGACTAGCTCCCTTTTCCATGTATCAAATCCTTGTTACGGTCAGTGCAGGTAGGCTAGCTGAATAATACACGCACTCACAGCGCTCACTCGGGTAGAGAAGATAGTTGATACAGAAGGTAGTCGTGCGCGCACCAGATAGGTCCCTCTCTCACGTCGGTAAGGCGTCGTCGTCTCCCTTGGCGCTCACTCGGGTAGAGAAGATAGTTGATACAGAAGGTAGTCGTGCGCGCACCAGATAGGTCCCTCTCTCACGTCGGTAAGGCGTCGTCGTCTCCCTTGGCGCTCACTCCCTTGACGCTCACTCCCTTGCCGCTCACTCGGGTAGAGAAGAAAGGCGTTTTGTACGTGGATCACGTGAGATTTCACCAGTGTCATCCCTATATATATTGAGCGTCTACCGACGCTCTGATTATAACTAAACATAGAGTATCCCACCAAAGCTAATAGCAGACTACAGAAGATGATCTCATTAATACGAGAATCCAGAATAGACTGCTACACAAAAAAAATTATAGTGTAAATGCACTTTCAGAACTGTTTCCAGGAATTCTGTGAATCTCAACGCAAATGGCATGCACCGATTCTCAAAAGTAAACCTTCGCCTCAACACTATAGTAGATGCTGTGGAGGAGAAAATAGCTCATGAAAGGTTTACAGTGCAAGTAATGAATCTTTCCATGGAAATCCCTTTAGAGCGTCGGTAGACGCTCTATGTAAGGATGACGCGGGTGAAATCTCAAGTGATCCGCGTACAAAACGACTTTTCGCTGAACATCTCCAAATTCGTCGGAGGTGTGCACGGACATCAAGCGATCGTTTTTGCCGCAAGTCACTACGGTAGATCATGGAGCTCTTCCATGGTCCAACGCCATCATGCTGCAAACTCAGCATCAGTGAGACGCACGTGTATATTACCAGGCGAGTTGACAGACCTGCAGAGGAACTCTCAGCCTACAGCATACCGTCCCACATTTCGCAGGACTGTCCCGCAAAAATCAGTGGCGTCCCGCTGTCCCGCAGCAGAGCCTTATTGTCCCGCGTCCGACCAACGCTCCGCGTAACTGCATGCGCAGGGAGTTTATGAAAAAGTGCAGGAAGAAATGAAAAAGTGTGGGAAATAGCTATTCCTGCAAAATCCCCGTATTTTTTGCATGTGCAGGAAGAATTTAAAGCTTGCTTATAATTATTGTTCCTGCACATGAGCAAGTTGTGCCGGAAAATTCCTATATACGTTTTGCCGGAAATTCCACATGTAGGAAATTTCCGGCACATTCCCCGTACATTATGGTATGGGTTCTTGTTTAGTGTTTCTGTCCAGCAATTTTTCTTCATGTCCTGCATTTCTGAACAGTGTCCAGTAAAATTTAATTTACATGGTTGGCAAGTATGCTCCAGTGCCTTCTGTAAGTAGGTGTGCACATATCCAACTAGCTGCTTGCTGTTGATTAGCACGAGGAGCAACTTGGTAGAGTCTGCGCGGTTTTACGCGAGCCTTGCGGGGCACTCAAATGGGCCTTCATTGTTTGTCCCACCAGGTTGTAGCTTGATAACCAAAGCCTGCCCATGAAACCACAACCATGTTCAATAACCTCATTACATCCTTGTTGAAGACACGACAGGGGTGAATGTGGTATCTAGCCCCTGCTCCAGGCACTAGCAGCCCATTAGGTACTACTTTCAACAGTTAGTGTCTGTAACAATAAAATACATTGTTGTCATAAGCTGCTAAAAATAGTGGAAACAAGTGGAAAAATCATTTCTTCAAAATGAAGGGGGATATAGGGATGCCTTGAAGCGAAGAAAAAAGGGACATTACACAGCAAAGATGAACAAAGCTACATGACACCATCTCTATATTTTTGTTTTATTGCAAATTTTTTTATCGAACAAAGATATAGGGATGATGCTATGTGTACAAGTGGAAAAATCATTTCTTCAAAATGAAAGTGGGATATAGGGATGACTTGAAGCACCAAAAAGGAAGAAACAAGGGGTCATTACACACCAAATATGCACAAAGCCACATGACACCATCCCTATATCTTTGTTTTATTGTTCATAAGCAAAGTTTAATATGAGACAAAGATATAGGGATGGTGTCATGTGGCTTTGTGCATATTTGGTGTGTAATGACCCCTTGTTTCTTCCTTTTTGGTGCTTCAAGTCATCCCTATATCCCACTTTCATTTTGAAGAAATGAGTTTTCCACTTGTTTCCACTATTTTTAACACCTTATGACAACACTCAGTCACTCTGATGTTCATGGCTATGTTGTAGAGATAACTGTTGAAAGCAGAAGCTAATGGACTGCTCTTAAGGGGTAGAGGAGGAGGAGGGGGTGGTAGTTTGGGCCCTGAAGAGGGCCTGGTTGAGGATCACTTGTTCTGCAGGTCTGCTGGGGAACTTGATGAGGTGGTGGTGGGGAAGACTTCCGGGCCAGGGCATGGGTCGTTGTTTCTCGTACTCAGGGGAGGCTGGGTCAGAGATGTCCTCTTCGGCTTCTTCTTCGGAGTCGTCGTCTTCCCCGTTTGACGATGGGGGCTCCCTCATTGAAGTGTACAGAGAGTCGTCTGGACGGGGCTGCTGTGGGGTGGCGGCGGGCTGGAGGTCAGCCCTGAAGCAGGGTGTATGCGTAGTGTCTCCAACAAGGACGCATTAGGTTGTGGCACATATGGTGGTGGTTTCATTGGGCAGGCTTCAGAAATCAGACTACAATGATAGCTATAACCTGGGGAACAAAGAATGAAGGCGGCACGCGTAACACGGCGCAGATTGCCAAGTTGCTCCTCGTGAAAATCAACAGCAAAACGCAAGCTAGCCAGATACAAATGTGTACACTGACTTACAGAAGGCACTGGAGGATGAGAGTAGTTTTCTCTGCAGGCATCCAGTCCTGGCTTAGTCTCGTTCGTGGACCAGACAAAATGCGCGCGCACCTCATTGGGAAACGCCCTCCTCTGCGCATGCGGGTCACTGATGCTGAGTTAGCAGCAAATGGCGTTGTTCAGTGACTACCGAGGAAGAGCTCAACGATCTACCGTAGTGACTTGTGGCAAGAAACAAACGATCGCTTGATGTGCGTGCACACCTCCGGCAAATTCGGAGACGTTCTGTGAAAAAATCAACGCTTCAAGTGCTTCCGGTAAGGAGCTAGCGGGTCTGAAGAAGAAGAAGAAGAAGAAGAAGAAGAAGAAGATGAAGAATATGATGATGACACGAAAATCGTGAAATCGCGTATGAGCGAATTCTCGCGTGGACGACTGAAGGTGGGTATGAGGTCTTGGGGGACATGTATAGGTAGATATGGGCCCGTATACTACTGCTAGTATGTTTTGAAGGCTTAGGGAGTGATTCTCACCGAGTTTTTAGTCGTTTTGTACGCGGATCACGTGAGATTTCACCCGTGTCGTCCCTATATAGAGAGTCTACCGACTCTCTGATAGCTTTGTGCATCTTTGCTGTGAAATGTCCCCTTGTTTCTTCATTTTTGGTGCTTCGAGGCATCCCTATATCCCCCTTCATTTTGAAGAAATGATTTTTCTACTTGTGCAATAAGAAGTCCACAAGACCTAAATTACAAGATGTGCCATATTATGTACTATATAATAGGCGAAAGCAGGTCATTTTTGGCGAGCAAGAGCGACACTATAACGTAGTATGCAAGAGCCCCCACACTTTACCATTTTACAGACCAGCTGTGCTATATAATACTGTGTAGCTATACAGACTAAAATAATACGGTCATAAGGCTTGAGGGTGTATATTATTTCAGTCTCCATAAACATTTTTTTGAAAGTAAATGTTATGATGGCAGTATGTAAACAGACTTTTACAGAAATGAATTTTGTTTTTCTAAACAAGACTTTTGCCAAGTTAAAGTGTATGGGTTAATCAGCTAGCTACTGTTGGCATTTGTTACTTATCTCTCACACATGGTGGAGCTGAAGTGAGCGTTATCACTCTAAGAGAGTCCTGCTCAGAGACAACCAACAGATGGCAACTCCAACATACTAGAGAATGGTACAGAAAGTTGTCATTTCGTGGAATTGGTTCCAGACGCATTCTGCTCATAATGGCATGGGAATTTATCATCAGCTGCTCACTGGGACTCATGTCAAATGAAATGCAGTATCTTCACTCCAATTTAGAAGATAAGGGTACCGTTTCTCCTTGGATGGTACAGGAAAAAACTCTCATAGGCATATATATATAGCTGCACTTTGCATCTCACTGCCAGTTGTAACTCTCCTAGCAGGGGTGGTTATCAGCCGGTATAAACTTGTCAGCTACTCTCTGAAGCAATGTGGTTCATTTCCATTGTGGGTTCTATCATCTCAATATGTAAAAAAGCCTGCACACTATTCAGCTGTTTTTGTTGATAGTACCACAGTATCTGCTTCTAGGGGTGTTTTTAGCCAGTGCAATTCCATTAGTAACCAAATTAATGGTGGTTCAAATATGAATATCTGTGCTTTTATACAGTGGTCTCTTTGGGTATATTTTAGTGGTGAGGCTATTCCTATTACTAGTAGGCAAATGCATGGCATTTTTGGCGAGCGGAAGCGCGCTTACAATTGGGGTCTAATCGTATGAGTCACTCTTGTGTGTGCACAAAACAGTGAGATACATTGCACAGGACCAAGTAGGCCGAAACGACCCGAGCGCAGTAGACAATTCGAGTCGAGTAAAAAACAGTCAGACGACAGCGCGAATCAGGCATAATCCGGCAATCTGATTGGTCTTGCAGGAATAGGGAACAAGTGGCAATGTAGAAAAATCTCTCGCTGGACTGTGCAGCAATACTCGATAGCTTCGGAGGTGTTGCGTTTCCCCTGATTCCGCTCGATTCAGGCAGCATTATGAAAATGTTGAAATCCCTTTCGGATAAAAAGAAGCGCGTAATGCTGGAGCATGCGCAGTTGGATGACGTACGGTGATTATAATATTATATATTATAATTATATAGAAAAATCACGCCGTTCGGACCACTAGGTTAGCTCGCTTCCGCTCGCCAATTATAGGCTGTGCTTTCAACAATTGCATACACTTTCAAGCAAATGAAATCAGGATAATTCTTTCACTGCTGCCAGTCCTACTGCTCTCTGTGGGACTCATTTTGGACTTTTGTTTCCACCACAAACTGGTGAAAGAGCCAGTGACTGTCAATCCAGTGAGTCCTATTTTCAAAGTCTTGAAATATGCAGGAAAGTACAAGTATCCAGTTCAGAGAAGTGCCTTCACATACTGTGAAAATGAATGGCGGACAATGGCAAGTCAAAATATGGAGGACCTTTCACCACAGAGCAAGTGGAGGATGTTAAGACCTTCTGGAGAGTCCTACTGGTTATAGTAGTGATTTCAACAATCCATATAATCACTAATGGCACAGTTTGAATCAGTCTCAGTCATGGAAGAAAACTTCGCGTCATCACAGTATCTCACACACTGCTTTCAAACTGCTTCATATCCCTCTTCAGCCATCGTGATCTCAATACCACTGTATGAGCTACTCATCTACCCATGTCTGAGAAACCGAGGTCCCAGCATCCTCAAGTCTGCTGGAATTGGAGTTGCAGCTGTAGTTGCTGCATCATTCTATGGCACAATGGCAGAGATAGCAAGACAAGCAGCTGGACGGTACTACTGAGTGTATGTTTACACAAAATAGTCCTAACAATAATAGCTTTGGTGATTTTGTTTGCATCCCTTTCAACTACATCCTCGGAATAGCAAACGTATTACTAGTTAAACCTAGCACTGAATTCATCTGTGCACAGGCACCATACAGCATGAACGGTCTTCTCATAGGACTTTCATACACAATACTTACTCTGTTTCTGGTACCTGGAGGATTGATAGTTGAGGCATGGAGGAACAAATGGTTTTCCATACTGGGCACCAGTACATGTGGTATCTGGTTCTACCTGAGCACACTAGTATTGGCAGTGGTGTCATCTGCTCTACTGGGCTTGGTCATACGATGGTACAAGGCAAGAGAGAGAGAGATGAAGTCACAAGATCTCAAGATTTAGTGGAGGAAGTATACCACAAGTATATGCACCACGAACAAGGATCACAAGAATGAAAGTACAAAAAGCGAGTAAACACTCTTATCAAAGTACTTGACAAAACTACTCATGTGTGCCGGATTGTATGATACTATTCAATTTCAAATAATAATTATGCTGTATGTAAATTTTTATCTCCCAACCACATGAAAGAAGATAGTCAATCTAACATTTGTCATAGTGTTTATTATGGAGTGTTCATCAACTAGACTCTTGTAAAGTGTCAACACAGTTGATGATGTATAAATTGGCCGTGTATCGACTCCTGCATCGGCATGTTATGTTATAGTGTAGATAGCCCGTGTCAGACTCCCCGCCACCAACTAGTGTGGAGACACCACGAGTAAACGCATACTCATAGCCCTGCCCATCAATTAGCGGTGCCGCGCATGCTTAATGCGTCAAGGAAATGCTGCCAGTATGCATAGCTAGTTCTTTGGTTTCTGCTTAGATAAGCAGAATCCCTGTGCTGTTTGCAAAAATATTCTTGCTCTCATTATAGCACATAAATGTAAATATACATGGATTCAGCTCATGATGTTGAATCCGCCATGTGTCGCTCAGTTTCTGCGAGAATCATTGCTACTGTGAGAGTCCCCTTGAGAAGTATAGTTACAAGCATGATCCTATATTATTATGATTCCCAACTGGATATTAATTTCCCAAACCGAAGGGAAAAAGTCACCAGGCAATTGGCAGAAAGTCTCTTCTTGATCTCCATGCTAGACTAACCCTCAAAAAGCCATCTATTCCAATCACATTGCAATGTGCTCCGAGTCCTTTTGCCGAGGGCAGTGAGTGTATCATCTACCACGGCTATGACTTAACCAGCAAGAAAGCAATTGCTTTGAAAAGCCAGACCGTTATCACTAAGTACGGTAGTACTTAGTATAATAATTATAGGGATGTGCATCATTATAGATGTATGGGGCTATGATAGGGAGTTTTGTTCATCGTCATCATCTTCATCTTCTTCTTCTCAAAAACCTAAAGAGATGAAAAGTACTGAAGTGCAAACCATTGGCGCATTGTGACGCGCACGCGTAAGTAAACGCATGCGCCATATCACTAATTAATGGGCTGGGTTTAGTTCTGTTATATATATACTCGCAGAGTGTGACGCGGGCTAATTACACTACTTAATAGCACGCGAGAGGCGATACACACCCTGCGTTGCACCTTGTGGTGCCTCCGAGGTACGAAGAGCACGCGGATCGATCAGACCGTGGTAAGCCATCCTGTCCGTTGTGTATTTGCATACGCTCTATCTTTGCAACGGAGCATTTTCAGAGAAAACCGTTCGACCTTCATTGCCCGTTAAGTAGGTTGTATCCTTTGTGAGACGAACAAACACCCGAGAAGTGAGATTTAGAGTAACAGACACACAGACAGACAGACAGACCCAATGAAAACCCTCGGCGCACTGTGACGCGCACGCAAACGCATGCGCCATACCACTAATTGATGAACTGGGTTCTGTCACTCGTGGTCTCTACCCACCTCGCGCAGAGTCTGACGCGGGCTAACTAACTACACTATATACTAGATAGCATACGAGAGGCGATACACGACCTGCGTTGCATCTTCTGGTGCCTCCGAGGTACGCAAAGCACGCGGATCGATCAGACCCGCTGTAAGCCGCCCCGTCCGTTGTGTATTTGTGGATTTTTCGCGCTCTAGCTTTGCAACGGAGCACGAAATAACCGTTCGAAACTTCTGACCTTCATTGCCCGTTAAAAGGAGGTCGTATCCTTTGTAAGACGAGCAAACACCCGGGAAGTGAGATTGAGAGTAACAGACACGCAGACACACAGAGAAACCCAACTACAGTAACCCTCGCTGCG